TTGGTATTTTCGTGGAATCATTTACTTACTCTCTGTAAGTACAGGGTTCATTATATTCTTGCTACAAGGGTTCATTATATTCTTTTACTATACCTATATCAGATATATTTTCAAAAATAATTTTCTTCTTCAGTTTGTTTTTTGACATTATTTTTAATACATTAGAAACTGATTTATTGAAAATTCCATACACACATATATGTATATATATACTTCATTCATGCCCCCCATTATCTTCTGTTATCCTCTCCCCCTGCTGAATTCCTTTTTTCAAACAAGTAGTCCTCCTAGTTTCACATCTGTGTGTGTGCTCCTGCATTTAATGAGGGTTGCTTAAATGAGGGTTGTTTACATGAGCATGGAAGAAGATTATTTTACCAGTGACTGTGTCTCCCTCTCTCTCTCAGAAGCCATTAACTACCTAGAGCTCCTCTTTCTGAAGAGTTGTGTCTTTTGACATTCTTTGATAGTGTCTTATAAAACATGAAAGTTATGAATTCTATCCAGTTTATCTGTTTTTTCTTGTCCAGTTTCTTTTTCTTTGTTTGCTCATGTTATTGATATCCTATATATTGTCATAATGGTTTACAGGGTGGTTTGTGGGTTTTTTTGTTTGTCTCACTCAGGTTGTACTCAATCTTACTGTATAGCGAGCCACCAGGCCTCAAACCTGTGACCTTGCTGCCTTAGCTTTTTGATCTTATATACTTATATAATATATATGATATATATATATATACTTATATCTCTATAAGTGTTGGTAACTCAAGGTCATGAATACTTATATTTTGTAGGGTTTTTATTTGGAGACATTGTCTCCCTCAGATTATATTTTGTCTGCTTTGTACTTTAGCTAGCCTCAAACCTGTCATTTTCCTGCCTTAGCTTTCTGAGTATGTTTCACAGTTTCCATTTTAGTTTTGGCTCTTATATTTAGATGTTTTTATTGATTTTGAGTTTGTTTTTATATATAGTTTGAGGTGAGGATCTAGTTTCATTCTTCAGCCTGTTGGCATCCAGTTGTTCCAGACTATCCTGAAAATAATTCTTTTCTCACTGAATTGTCTTGATTTCTGTATCAAAAATTGCTTGATCTGAGGTTCAAGTTATAGTTCAGTGGTAGAGTGCTTCCATAGTATGTTCAAGGCCCTGGGCTTGCTCCCGTGTATTGCAAAACCAAAAAATCAAATGGAAAAAAAACAAATCAGGACAAGTCAGTTGACCATATGTGCATGTATATGTTGGATCTTAAATCTTCCATTGTTTTATATGTCTGTTTTTATGATAATGTATAATTCTTTGATTACTATACGTTTGTAGTAAGTTTTGAAGTTGGGAATTGCCAGTCCTCTAACTGTGTACATCTTTTCCAAGGTTGGTTTCTTATGATCCCTTGAATTTTCATATGAATTTTTAGGTTTCGAACTTGTGGTGGTTTTTAGTGGCTTATTTGCTTTAGTTTTTTGTTTGTTTGTTTTAGTGGTTGTATATATATACATATATACATACATACATATAGAGAGAGCGCACGCCTATCATAGATTACTGGTATTGATGTTTTACCAGTTCGAAAGGTTTTTGTTATACCTAGAGGCATAAAAAAACAGTTTGAATCTGATGGCTCTCAGATAATAAACTGGGGTAGTAACAAATCCAATCACAGCATGACCAGTTTAGGCTATGTATCTACCACTGCCAGGAGTCTTAGCTGAGGCCATGATTGTAGACTTAGGGGAGTTTCTCTTATATCAAACTTCAACCTGAAAAGCCCCCCTTTCCAGTCATCTCTGTCAGCACTCTCCTTTTCCACCCACCCCTCAATCAGATCCCTCATGTTTCTATGCCCATCTGCCCCCAGTACACTCAGGAAATCACTATTTCCCTTTCTCAGGAAGATCCATTTGTCCGTCCTTGGTCCCTCCTTGTTACTTAGTCTCTCTGGGTCTGTGCATTGTAGCATGGTTATCCTTTACTTTACAGTTCACTTATGAGTGAGTATATACCGTGTTTATCTTTCTAGGTGGGTTTCCATCCATTTGCCTTCAAATTTTCTGATGTCATTGTTTCTGACAACTGAGTAATACTCTTGTATAAATGTACCAACTTTCCTTTATCATTCCTTGGCTGAAGGACGTCTAAATTGTTTCCAGATTCTGGCTATTACAAATAAAACATAGTTGAGCAAGTGTTTTTGTGGTATGATTAAGCATCCTTTGGCTATATGTCCAAGATACAGCTGGATCTTGAGGTAGGTTTCCAATTTTCTGAGAAACTGCTGTATTGGTTTTTTTTCCAAAGCGCTGTACAAGTTTGCCTTTCCACCATTGCTCCATATCCTCTTCAGCATAAGCTGCCATTTGTGTTTTTGATAAGTGTAAGATGGAACCTCAAAGTCATTTTGATTTGCATTTCCCTGATGGCTAAAAATGATGAATACTTCTTTAAGTGTTTCTCGGACATTTGAGATTCTTCTTTTGAGAATTCTCTTTTTAGATCTATCTGTACCCCGTTTTTTAAATTGGATTATTTGTGTTTTGATGTCTGGTTTCTTGAGTTCTTTATATATTTAGGAGATCAGCCCTCTGTCAGACGTGGGGTTGGTGAAAATATTTTCCCATTCTGTTGACTGCCATTCTTTCCTATTGACAGTGTCCTTTGCCTTTTCAGCCTCATGAGGTCCCATTTATTAATTGTCGATCTTTAATGTCTACGCTACTGGTGTTCTGTTCAGAAATTTGCCTTCTGTGCCAATGCGTTTAAGGCTCTTCACCACTTTCTCTTCTCTCGGCTTCAGTGTAACTGGATTTATGTTGAGATCTTTGATCCACTTAGACTTGAGCAGGGTGATAGAGTAGATATGGATCTATTTTCATTCCTCTATATGTTAACATCCGGTTATGCTAGCACCATTTGTTGAAGATGTTTTGTTTTCTTCATTGTATAGATTTGGCTTCTTTGTCAAAAATAAAGAGGTGTATGGATTTACTTCTGGGTCATTGATTCAGTTTCATTGATCCACCTGTCTGTTTTTATACCAATATCAAGCTGTTTTTATTACTGTAACTCTGAAGTAGAGCTTGACATTAGAGATGGTGATACTTCCAGAAGTTCTTATATTGTATAGGTTTGTTTTAGCTATCCTAGGGTTTTTGTTTTTCCATATAAAGCTGAGTATTATTCTTTCAATATCTATAAAGAATTATGTTGGAATTTGATGGGAATTGCATCAAATCTGCATATTGCTTTTGGTAAGATGGCCACTTTTACTATGTTAATCCTGTGGATCCATGAGCATGGGAGATCTTTCCATCTTCTTGTATCTTCTCCAGTTTCTTTCTTCGAACTCTTGAAGATCTTGTCATACAGGTCTTTCATTTGCTTACTTAAGAGTTATACCAAGATATTTTATATTGTGTGTGGCTATTGTGAAGGGTGTTGTTTACCTGATTTCTTTCCCAATCCTTTTATCCTTTGTACATAAAAGGGTATTTGACTTTTTTTTTAGTTAATCTTGTATCTAGACAGTTTGCTAAAGGTGCTGCAGGAGTTCTCAGTAGAATTTTTGGGGTCGCTTATGTATACTATCATGTCATCTGCAAATAGCAATACTTAGACCTCTTTCCAATTTGTATTCCCTTGATCTCTTTTTGTTGTCTTACTGCTCTAGCTAGAACTTTGAATACTACATATTGAATAGATATGGAGAGAGTGGACAGCCTTGTCTTATTCCTGATTTTAGTGGAATTGCTTTGGGTTTCTCTCCATTTAATTTGACATTGTCTGTCAGCTTGTTGTATATTGCCTTTATTATGTTTCAGTATGTTCTTTGTATCCCTGATCTCTCCCAAGACTTTTATCATGAAAGTGTGTTGTATTTTGCCAACGGCTTTCTCAGCATCTAATGAGGTGATTAAACATTGGGCAGAGTTTGGGGAGTCCTGCTCAGAGGGAGGAGGGATTGTAACAGCCAAGTGTGTAAGGGACATAACAAGAGAACCCACAGTAACATCTAACCTGACTCATGGGAACTCAGAGTCTGAACCAACAACAAGGGAGCCTGCATGGAACCTACCTAAGCCCTCTGCATATATGTGACAATTATGTAGCTTGGTCTATTTGTGTAACTCCTAGCATTGGGAGTAAGGGTGCTTTGGTTGGCTCTTGGGAACCTATTCCTCTTGCTGGAATGCCTTGCCCAGCCTGAATACAGGGGGAGATGGTTGGTCTTATGGCAGCTTGATATGTTCCATGCTTTCCTGAATCTCATGGGAGGCCTGCCCCTTTCTGAGTGAATAAAGATGAGAGGTGAATTGTGGAGATGGGGCAGGAGGGGAGGCTGCCAATGGGATGTAAAATAAATAAATTATAAAGAAGAACGCTGGGCAGTGGTGGCACACGCCTTCAATCCCAGCATTTGGGAGGCAGAGGCAAGTAGATCTCTGTGAGTTTGAGGCCAGCCTGGTCTACAGAGCAAGTTCCAAGGCAGGTTTCAAAGGTACACAGAGAAACCCTGTTAAGAAAAACAAAACAAAACAAAACAAAAAGTCAGTTTGGAATAGTAGTCAGTATGAGAGATAAGGAGGGACACAGACTTTCTAGATTAAGGGATGGCAAACGGAGATGAATATAGAACATATTTAAGGAAAAAAATAATGTTGCAAAATTGGATCAAAGGCAAGGAGATTGAATAATTGTGCTCTAGTGGTGTGCATTTTAGAAAGAAGTCCTAGCAAAAGAGTGATGTTCTTTTAGATAAGAAAGGGTAGGTAAAGCAGTGGAAAGAGTTTTGAAGTAAAGAGAGGATAAGTAGAAGTGCATTAACTTCATAAGTTGATTCTGTTCAGGGTTGCAATAGTGACAATGTACACCAGGTTAGATATTGCCACAGTGAAACAAATAAGAGTATTATATGTAGTCAGGGTTAAACTGGGTAGGCACTGAGGTATCCAAAGCAAGAAATGCTTTCTGCTAGCTGTGACCTTTGCCTTATTATACTACAGGATGGATTCATGCCGTGCTGACCCCTGTGGACTGCCTAGCCTTTGGAGGGAACTTCTTACACAGCCTTAACATCGAAATGCAGCTCAAGTGAGTTCTGAAGTTGCCTGTTCTTGTGTGCTGTAGTGCTTATGTTTTCCCCTTGAGTAAGGAATGCAGTATAGTAAGATGAAGACAACTAGAAAGTATCTTTTTCTTTTGTGTATGTTTGGTTTTTCTGGTCAGTGTTTGTGTAACCCTGGCTGTCCTGAAACTTACTCTGTAGACCAGATTGGCCTCAAGCTCAGAGTTCCACCTGCCTCTTACTCTCAAGTGCTGGAATTAAAGGCATGTACCACTACCACTGCAAAGATAATGGTATCTTAGTTCTTGGTGACATTCACTTTGACAAGGTTAACACCCTTTCTTTACTTGGTTATTAATGTGCCTTTGGACAAATCACATAATCTTTGAGTCCAAAGTTTCTTTGTATATAGGGCTTTACAGGGTCACTGTGAGGATTAAATACAGTAGATACATTGCACCAAGAATAATACTTGGTACATAATAATCAGCAAATAGATCCTTTTATAATCATTATGTTTCCTTACAGAGCCTATGAGATTGAGAAGCGGCTGAGCACAGCAGACCTCTTCAAGTTTCCCAACTTTGAGACTATCTGCTGGTATGTGGGAAAACATATTCTGGACATCTTTCGAGGTATGGTTCGCCTGACCAGCTATTACTTTTGCTTAGAGAGAAAGAAGGAAGAAGAGGGAGTGTGGAAATTGTGGAGAGGAGGAATGGGAGAAGAAAACCTGCTACTTCTGTTTTCTTGCTATGTATTTCAAAACAGTATTAATACCTTAAATATATACAGTAAAATGTTTCAATAACTGAGATATAGAACCAGCCTAGAAGTCCATAAACAGATGGTAGATAAAGAAAATTTGCTAGTTGAACACAGTGGAACTTTATTCAGCTGTAATGAAAAAATTTATATTTGCAGAAAATTGGTATACTGGAGATCATTATGTTACATGAAATAACCAGACCCAGACAAATATTTTGTTTTCTCTCATATGTGAAGTCTAGATTTAAATTTATGGTGTGTGTGTGTGTGTGTGTGTGTGTGTGTGTGTGAGAAAGAGAGAGAGAGAGAGAGAGATTGATTGAGATTGATCAATCAAAGTAGAAGGGACTATGACTAGAGAGGAGGTTTAGCAGGCATGTCCAACCCGTGGTCCAGGAGCTGCATACATACAGCTGCATGTAGCTAAGGACAGAAGAAAAGGGGGGCCCAGCACAATTATAAAGTAACTTAAGATGTTATGAAGTGATTTTGCAGTTTGTTTTAATAACCTAGTTGCATGATTATCTAGTGTGAACTTTGAAGATAACATTGGGTTGCAGTGTCAGAAAGTTGGACGCACGTGGTGAGGGATGGGCAGAACAAACAGGTAATAGAATATATCTAACATGGAGGCAGAATCCAAGACTCTGGGGTAAGGAAGGGATAGAGGAGGGCAGTGGGTTGAGTGAATAAGAATAAAGTATACTAGCTAGGCAGTGGTGGCGCACACCTTTAATACGAGCACTCAGGAGGCAGAGGCAGGCAGATCTCTGTGAGTTCGAGACCCGGACAGGCTCCAAAGCTACAGAGAAACCCTGCCTCAAAACAACAACAACAACAATAATAATAAAGAATAAAGAAGAAAACGAATAAAATATACTGAATTATATGTATAAAAATGTCACAGTGAAACCTCTTTGTATTTTTGTATATTAACTAAAAATTAAAATGGAAAGTGACTATTATGATCTAAAAAAGTGCTACAACCATTTACACTCTCTCCCCTTACATCATCCATAACTTTTGAAAACTGCTAGTCTGTTTTCCACCCCTATAATTTTGTCATTTGAAGAATATTATATAAATGGAATCATAGTGGCATATAAGTGTTCAAATGTGGAATGACTAATGGCTCATTTACCTATTCTATAAAGCCTAAAGCTGGCTGTTAATAGCCTCCTTATGAAGTAAGGCAGAGCAAAGACAGTTTAAGACCTAAAAGGCAGACTAATTTAATAGAATGAATATAGCCTCATATTCAAATAGATAAATCTTTTTAGTCTGTGCTCTGGCACCTGCTATGTGTATATCTTTGATCAAGACTGCTCAGACCTTTAGTTTCCTGAACTATAAAATGAACATTGCTTATAAAGTGCATGTCAGGATTAAACTAGTGTTTAGTAAGTTCTCAGTGCCTGAACACTATTGGTGTAACAGAGCTGAAGGTGTACCCAGAATCTTTAGCATTTTCTTTTTCTGACAAGGGTAACAAGTCCTTCATCCCTCTGAATGGCTGCATTGACATTCATTTTCTTTTTTTCCCCCTACTTTAGGTTTGCGAGAGAACAGGAGACACCCTGCCTCCTACTTGGTCCATGGTGGTAAAGCTCTGAACTTGGCCTTTAGAGCCTGGACAAGGAAAGAAGTAAATATGCTTGTTTCTACACCTACTCAGTAATTCTTTCTTCTATAAAGACTAGATATTGATAGATGTTTGGGGAGACATAAGGAATCAAAGAGTCAAGTAGGCTCCTGGATTAGAATGAAATACTGGGCTAGGAGCCTTTATTTCTGATTTTAACAAATACTATATATATGTGTGTGTGTGTGTGTGTGTGTGTGTGTGTATATATATTTATATATATATATATATATTTCAAAATTGGAAACATGCAAAAGTTCGTAAAGAAGAAGAATGTCACCTATAATTTTAGCTTAAAATAATTATTAACATTTAGTTGTATTTCCTTTTGATCTTTTGTGTGCATTACATTTTTTCCATTTTATTTTATGTGTATGGGTATTTTGTCCGAACTTAAGTGCACAGCATGTACACAGTGCCTGCAGAGGTCAGAAGAGAGTGTCAGATCCCCTGAAACTGGAGTTGTAGGCTTTTTATGGGTGTTAGGATTTGAACCTATCTCCTCTAGAAGAGCAGCCAGTGCCCTTAACTGCTGAGCCATCTCCAGCGTACTGTGTGCACATTTTTTGAGGGCACTAGATGTCAGTTCTGCAGCACTGCATGTTTTGCACCTTCTATCCCTGGGCTCAATAATTGGTATTGCATTATTTATTCTATTTTTTGTGTTACTCAAGTTTTCATAAATACTTAATTGCTGCCTGCTATTCTTTTTCAGGAATATGCTCTCTAATTATTTGTTTATAGTTGCTTTCTACTTTTTTCCTTATTTGGAGGATTGTAGTTACAATGAATCATACAATAAATATGTTTGTGTCAGTCTTAGCCCTTATCTCTTGTTAATTCCTTCAGGATAGTTTCCTGAAAGATCAATGACTGGATCAAAGTATATGAACAAAAAAATGTAAGGCTCTTGATACGTACTGCAAAAATGTCTTTTAAGAAACATACCAATATTCATCTATCCAACTGAGTATAAAATAGCTATAAAAGATAATTTTTATTATCTTTCTTAAGTTCTCTGTATACTGTTTTGGAAAGATCTCCAGAATTTGTCAAATGAAGGTACAGAATCATATATAGAAGCATCCATTTATGTAAAAAAGGAAGATACAAGAATTGTGTTTGTGTATGTTCGTATTTGCCTAAAGACATAATCTGTAGAGAAACAGAAGCTAGTGAAAAAATAGTTACCTATGGGAGAGGGTAGAATGAGGGTTGCTAGGGACAGGGTACTAATGAGGCTTTTATTCTTTGAACCATGCAAATATATTATTTTCCAAATGTTCATTGAAAAAATTTCAACCTTAAGAAATGCAAAATAACAATGAGGGTTTGTGTGTGTGTGTGTGTGTGTGTGTGTGTGTGTGTGTGTGTTGGCCAATTACTCTGCCCTGAGGTGTGGTTTATATACCCAGATCAACTACATTGGGGAAAACTGATTTATCCTTTGTCAGCATATGTCAATTGCAGATAGCTTATATTGGCTAGAGGTGGGAGTCCATGTTGATTTCTGGGATTTTTGTGTGTGTGTGCTTTTCTGTGTGTGTTTCTTGTTGGGTATTTTGTTTGTTTGTTTTAAAGAGAGAAAAGGAACAAAGTTGGGTGGGTAGGATCTGGGAAGTATTAGAGGAGAAATGCTTAATCAAACTGTATTTGAGAAAATTTGTTTCATAGAGTCAAAAAAGAAATGCAAAATATAGAAGAAATATCAATACAGGTTTCATATTCTCTATGGTCTTCTTCCATGTAGTGATCTAAGGGGATGGTTTCAGACATTGAAGGTTTAGCCTGTGAAATGTCTTCATTTTATGTTGCCAACAATTCCCTGATACTTTTGAACTTAGTGTTTTGTGCTTTCTCTTGTTCCCTGATCTTAGTACACCTTGCTTTTAGCCTATAGTTCTGTTTTTCCATCCTCCTCCAGTGTGGCTACCTTTAGTGTTATTTCTGATCCTTCCTATGAAATATACTTCAGACTGACTCTTCCAGGAACACCAAAAGAAAGTGAGTGAGTAGTTCTTAAGTATTTATACACTGAGTCAAAATGAATCCAGGAATCAAGGAATGGCTCCAAATAGCATGGCCAAAAGGAGCTAGAGGAGAGTAGGATACTTTTAAGGAACACAGACATGCTCATGGAAAAATTCTTCTTTGAAGTACAGATGATTTACATGGGAAGAAACACTTGTTCCCTTCCCTCCAGTACCCATCCTAGCCTGGAAGGGAGGGAACCATTAAAGTTATTCAGCTGGGTTACATGGGTTCTCATTGCCCTATATAGCCTCACCCTCAAATTCCAGATTAATTAACTGTTGAGTGGAGAAAGAATTGAGCCATGCGAAATAAAGTCCTGGGAAATTGTTTTATCTTCTGCCTACTAAATACAGAAACAAAATGAACAGTAGTAGAAGAAATAACAATGAAAAGCTTGATATCTATATAAAAATCTAAATCTCAGTACTGAAAAAAATAACAAACAGAATACACACAACTAGCAGTTATCTCTCAGAGGTACTATTGAGCTAGCTAGCTATGGACAGGTAGCTGCAGATACTGAGCTCTCTTCTCCCAAGTTGGTTTGTCCCAGTTGATCTCCCTAATGTCCTTGTCTTCTTGAGAGGTGTGGGCTAAGTTTATATCTTAATTCTTGACACTTCTTGATGCCGTCTTTTACCAGATATGTGTGGGTTTTCTTTCTTTTAGACATATTTTCACTATATAGTCCAACATGGCTTCAAACTTGGAATCCTCTGCCTCAACCTCCTAAACACTGGAATTATAGGCGTATACCTCTATGCTCAGATATATGTTCTACAAAAGTTTTCTTTCAGTCTTTAGTTTGTCCCAAAATAAAAGAGGTTTTTTCAGACAGGTTTTTGTCTTTTATAAGTCCATTTTATTGATATTTTATAGTTAATGTTTTTTGTGTCTGAAGAATTAGTTGCTTAACAAAAGTTCACAAAAAAATTTCTCATTGGTTATATAGGGTTTATATTTTTAAGTTCTAAATTTAGGTGTGTAATTCTCTGTGTTTATTTCAAGAAATGTATTAAAGTTTTGTTTTTGTTTTGCCTATAGATGTCCAGTATCTAATTGGTTTCCTATCAGTTATTGAAAAGACTGTCCTTTCTTCATTGCATGCCCTTAGCATGTTTACAAGAAATCAGTTGTCTTATGCTTCTTATTTGACAGACTCTACCAGACCATGAGGATGAAATCCCGGAGACAGTGCGGACTGTGCAGCTCATTAAAGATCTGGCTAGGGAGATCCGCTTGGTTGAAGTAAGAAGCTTGGGAGGAAGGAAGGCATTTGGGAAGGGCTGGAGACTCAAGTAGCAGGTCAGGACTTTGTAGTTGGTGTAAAGCCCAGGGAAAGAATGGGAAGACTCTTATCAAGGGCCTTATTTATTTGTTTAGTCGTTCATTTAAATAATCTTGTGCATGCCACACTCTGGGCTAGTTTCCTGGGATACATGAATGATGTAGTGCCTGTCCACAAACTCACAGATGCAGTTAATCTCTCTGAAATTCAATTGCCTTATCTCTAAATGAGAATAATGATAGCTACTTAAGGTTGTTAATAAGGTAATGTGAATTGAACATATAGTGCTTGACATGCAGTTGGCACATAATTTCTAATGGTGAACCATAGTTGTAGTTGTTCCTTTTAATATTTTGTTTCTGTCTCTGAATTCTACAAAATGACAACCTCAGGTTGAAAATGATTAAAAAGGAATGTTTCAACAGGTGGCATATACCATGAGGCAGGAAACAGAGTAGTAAGAAACTCAGATAAGCTTGGGTTCTGATTCCTATTCTTTCACTTAAGAGCCTTTCAGAGTCTCGGTTTTCTGATCTCTAAAGTAAGGAATAACTCTACCATCCTTTCAGATCTTTGGTAGAATTGAGAGGTAATATAGAGCTCCTCGCACAGTGCCTGGCAGAGTAATTACTCAATAAATATGAGTCTTGTTATTAATAGACTTTGTAGCAAAGAGAAAACTCAGTGTGGGCTGGTGAAGTAGCAGAGGCACCAGAGGAAAATTGGACTTGAGGATGTTGAAGTTGTGTTAGGATCTGTACAATTGTATTTAGTGCCTAAGAGATGTCTGTGTGTCTGTCTTTCCCTCCCTTCTTCCTTTCCCCTTCTCTTCTTGTTTTTCTTTTATTGTGCATGTATGTGTATTCATGCTACAGGGTGGTTTGCTTCTAGAAGTTGCACTTCTGGCCTCACTACTTGTAGCATGTTGTACTATCTACAGCATAGTCTACAGTATCTACATCCTACCTCATTTTTCTCCATTTCACCTTCTAAAACCTTTCAGGAGTCAGTCAAAGGACTATATTGTTTCCAGTTCTTAACCCAATTTTGTACATGCAGAACATTGGGCTGGCTAGAACAAAACTCATGGGATCCAACATAACTTGTTCATTAGTTTTCTAACATTTTAAAATAATGGAATCCTTTTTTGTCCAAATAAGATTTTGTATGGAAGCCAATTTATATAATAAATCAAAGCATAGCTGCTTTGAATAGGATAAAGGTCATAGACCTAGAGCTCCCCTTGTTCCTCTCATCTGCCTTCCACATACCACCAGTCCCCAAGATTTCTCCCAGGATGCTCAAAGAAACCACAGAACATCTTTGAAAAACACCTTTTCAGTATTGACATTTAATTATATAGCTAAGCAAACAAGCTCTAGAGCTTGTTCGATCAGATAACTTTGCCAAGGTCACAGGGATAGCTGGTACCAAAATTGAGACTAAGATTTTTCTTCAAAAGCCCTATAGTCCATAGAGTTTGAACCACACAGATAAGTGCTTGATTATTTTTTATTTTGTGTCAGCTAATCTTGGAGTCTTTTCCCTCCAGTTTTGACAGTAATGTTGGGCTTTTTCTTTGCTCGTCTTCTCTTTACTTGTCAATGGCTGGGTAAAGAAATGCCACCCAATAAATTTATGATGACTCACTGTATAGAAGAAGGGGTGTGCATATGTGGAGCACCTGTGTAAGCCACTTCAGTTATGGCAGTACCATTAGTGCTGGGAACAGACCTCTGCTCTTACCATAGAGAGAACCCTTGAGTAAGCTCTAACCCCCTCGTGTACTAATACTCTTGTAGGACATCTTCCAACAGAACGTTGGGAAGACGAGCAATATCTTTGGGCTGCAGAGGATCTTCCCAGCTGGCTCCATCCCCTTAACCAGGCCAGCCCATTCCACTTCAGTATCCATGTCCAGGCTGTCACTGCCTTCCAAAAGTGGTTCAAAGAAGAAAGGCCTGAAGTCCAAGAATATCTTCAAGAAGGCAGAGCGAAAGGGCAAGGAGAGTTCAGCCTTGGGGCCTGCTGGCCAGTTGAGCTATAATCTCATGGACCCATACAGTCATCAGGCACTGAAGACAGGCTCTTCCCAGAAAGCAAAGGTGGGTGCTGACCCATGGGTTCAGCCCAACCCTTTTGGGTCCCTTGGAAGAGCAGTATTTCAAAAGAGCAGGCTATCCTGTTCTGTTTTCATCTGTTAGGGTCCCTGGTGTTTGGCTACCAGTTCCACTCACTTAACAGGTATTTATTGAGACATTTTCTGTGCTGGGCACTGTGATAGGTGCTGTGAATGGAACTCAAAAGGCTAATAGGCTAATAAGAAAGGCATAAAAACAAATGAATGAAATAAAGTGTGGATGCCACAAGCAAGGGTATATATGGGATTTTGAGACACAGAAGGGGGTTGATTCTATCTAAGTAAGGCTCAGGAGCTCTTTTCCAGGTACATGACACTTGAGTTGAATCTTGGTATATTGAGATGGGAAATGAGATCTGAGAATGTTATTTATAGAGTTAGAATCTTGAACAGGTCCTTATCTCTTCCTTCAGGGTTTCACTTTGTCTCAATATTATGTTGCCCTCTGTGGGTATCTAATAATGGTACCCTCTTCTTTTTTTAGGGTATATGTTTCACAAGCTAATATGTTTTCCCCAAGCAAACTATATATTCTCAACCTCCTACTCCTGTAATTGTTGGAGGTGGGGGTTGGGGACAAGCATATCAGAAGGCCTTGGTTCAGAGGGTTTTTGACAGTTTTGCAGTAAAACCAGAGGGAACTGGCCATCTTGATTTACCTGGGAGTCTCAGACTGGTGACAACTGAGCCTCCTCCTTCTACAGTTCAACATCACGGGTACCTGCTTGAATGAATCAGATGACTCACCAGACATGGACCTTGATGGCAGTGAGAACCCACTGGCCCTGTTGATGGCCAATGGCAGGTAAGATGGGTAAAGGAAACACAGAGATAACTGAGCTTGCCAGTGACAATTAACATGTAGACATGGAAGTTGGGACATGGGTGAGGGAAGAACAGTATTTAGACTAATATCCAACTGTTAATAGATATTTACTTTGTTCAGGAGTTATGGTGGATGGGCGAGAGGTCTAATTTTAGCAAATTATTATGGTAGAACTACTAGTAAAAATAATTAGTGGTAGTGAGTATACAGGTTAAGAGCACAGGGGTTTGGGTTGGAGAGATGGCTCAGCTGTTAAGAGCACACTTATTACTCTTTTTTTTTGTTCTTAAAGAGCCACATTTTATTCTTTTTTTTTCTTGGAAAAAAGAATTTCTGCCTCCTCCCATCCTCCCATTTCCCTCCCCTTCCTCCCACTCCACTCCCCCTCCCCCCACTCCTTTCCTCCTCCCTCTCCAGACCTAAGAGCAGTCAGGTGGAAAGTCCAAGGTCCTCCCCCCTCCATCTAGGTCTAGGAAGGTGAGCATCCAAACTTGCTAGGCTCCCACAAAGCCAGAACATGAAGTAGGATCAAACCCCAGTGCCATTGTCTTTGGCTTCTCATCAGTCCTCATTGTTCAGAGAGTCCGGTTTTATCCCATGCTTTTTCAGTTCCAGTCCAGCTGGCCTTGGTGAGCTCCCAATAGACCAGTCCCTCTGGCGCCACAGAGACGGTCCACACTTAATACTCTTACAGAGAACCCCAGTTCTATTTCCAGTACCCACATGGTAGTTGACAATCATCCATAATTCCCATTCCAGGGAATCTGATATCCTCTTCTGATCTCCGTGGGAACCAGGCTCATGTGTGATCCACATACATACCTGCAGGCCAAACATTAATATACATAAAATAAAAATAAATAACAACAGAACATAGGGGCTAAGCCGTCTGGTGATGGTACATGCCTTTAATCTCCGTACTTGGGAGGCAGAGGCAGGTGGATCTCTGAGTTTGAGGCCAGTCCTCAAGAGTAGTTCTGGGATAGCTAGGACTGTTACACAGAGAAACCCTCCCTGTCTTGAAAAACAAACAAAAGAACATAGGGGCTTTTTGGTTAATTTTTATTCACTATTTGTGTATGGAGGGGTAGGGGTCAAGGGCAGTGCATACAGGGATACCATGACATGGGTGCGATGGTCAAAGGACAACTTTTTGGGAATCCTTTCTTTCCTTTTGATGTGAGTTTAGGTAATCAAACTCACTTTTTCAGGCTTTGTGTACCTAGGACCTTTACTTGCTGTGCCATTGTGCTAGCTCAAGAACATACTTTATAAAATACGCTTTTATAATTTAATGCATAAGAATTCAGTTTATGGAGATTCTTTGTACCTATGTATAAGAAGAAATTTTCAGTGCATCCTGTGTCCTTGTAATATGTGCCTGAAATTATTTAGATGTTCAACAGCATAGGTTAAATAAATTATAGCGTTTCTTTAGAATAGAGCCCATGTATTAAAGAATTAAAAAGAATGGAGCGTGGGTCTACTAGACTAGAAAATAAGAGAAAAGAGTAGAATCTTAAAGCAGCAGAGCTGCCCATAATGTGATAATACATTAGTTAAAGAGTAATATTGAAGAGAATGTTGAACTCTGCCTGTTTTCAGAGCTGGCAGGTCTCTTGAGGAGGACAATTGTTGAGTCTTACATGATCAATTATAATGACTAGGAGGATACAGTATAAGAGATCTCTGTGCCCTCCCTAGTCTTATACCTGTGCTATTTCCGTTAACCTGCTGCAGCTGCCAGGTGTTATTAAATGGACTGAGAGACCATTGAAATATTTGTGAATAAAGTATATCTTTTCCAAATTGAATATATTGCAGTAATGTGTAGATGAAATAAGATTGGCTGTATATCAGAAATCTTAAAATTCAGCAGTATGACAGATATGTGGGGGTTATTATATATTTAAATTTTTGTATGTGTTTAAATTTTTCATGATTAAAAACCAGAAAATTAGATGATAAATAGATATTATTGAGTAGCTGCTATGTGTCAGACTATCTTAGCTGTTTATATACATTATTTTATTTAATCCTTATAGTTCTCAATGTAAGTTTATTGCTTCCATTTTATACATGTGAAAACTGTGAACCAGAGAGTTTAATTATACTATTTGTCATTATTGAGTCTTTGCTGTGTGACAGACTCTCTATTAACATTAACTCTATGAGCTAGAAAGTAGGTCAATCTAATAAGAACTAATTCACTGAGAGACATTTTGGCCAAATAGCTATTTGCTAAATATATGAATGTTCTGATTTACTAGAAACATTCCCTTTTGCTTTTTAAAATCATTTACCATGTGTTAACAGGATAATCTAAATTACTTATGTGTTTTCCATTCCCTTTGCATATGTCTTGCATATATTATTTGTATAAATATATATGCATATACACATATGTTACAGAGAGACAGAAAGACAGACACACACACACATACTCACACACAGATTCTCATTATCCTGCTGGCCTAGGACTCCCTGTGTAGACTGGGCTGGCCTTGAACTCACAGAGATCTACCTGCCTCTGCCTCCCAATTGCTCGGATTAAAGGAGTGTGCCACCATGCCTTGCATGTATCTGTGTATTTTTATTAACATAGAGTATTTGTATATATTTATGAGGTACAATGTAATATTGGGTAGTGACTAACTTGGCAATGTTCTAAAATTTTTGAGCACATTCTGTACTACTTTGAGATATATAAGGCATTATTGTTAATTATATTCATCCTGTTATACCACAGAATACCAAAAGTTACTCATTTGATGAGACAATAATAACATTATGTCTATTGATTGATCTCTTCTCTATTTCCTTTTTATTCTTTCCAGTTTCTGAGCTTCTATAAAAAGAACTCTTAAAGATAATACTTATTAGTAGTTTGCATGCTATAAATTAACTTTCTCAAGTATGTAATTAAGTGGATTTTAGTAAGTTTACAGACTAATCCAGTTATCATTATAGTTCAATTTTAGAATATTTCTTATCCTTCTTATTCTAGGCTAAAACTATCTTTATCACTACTAATATATTTATCTCTATGGATTTGCTTTTTTTAGACATTTCATATAAATGAAATCATATTCTGACTTCTTTCACTTAGTGAGATTTATTTATAATACAGCAAAGAACCATTATTACTTGGTTCATTTGTTGAATAATATTCCTTTTTCTGGATATAACACATTTTGTTTATTCACTATTTTATAATCATTTGGATTGCTTCTACTTTGAGCTAGAAGCAATGATGAATAATAATGCTTTGAACATTATGTTAAAAAGTTTTGGTTTTGCATATGTATGTGTGTGTTATGTGTACATGTGCATGTTTGTGCACATTCACATGTGGAAGCTTAACAATATCAGATGGCTTCTTCAGTGACTCTTCACATTTTGTATTGAGGTAAGATCTCTTATTTAACTGGAAGCTCTCCTTTTCAGCTTCTGGCTAGCCAGCTTGCTCTGGAAATTTCCCTGTCTATGTTCCCTGCATCTGGGAATTACAGGTTGGCCATTACAGGTCCTGTTGGTGTTTACACAGGTTCTGGGAATCTGAATCCCTACTGAATCATTTCCCCAGTCCCATGTACAAGTTTTTATGTGGATGTGTATTTTGGATTCAAGAAATGGCTGAAAATTATACCGAAGTGTATGTGTGTGTCATTTTACATTGTAGACCAGCAATCATAAAGTTCTATCTCCTGTGGATTTTGTTTATTTTTTGTTTCTTTCTTTGGTTGGTTTTTGGTTTTTCGAGACAGGGTTTCTCTGTGTAGCCTTGACCGTCTTAGAACTTGCTCTGTAGACCAGGCTGGCTGGCCTTGAACTCAGACATCTGCCTGCACCTGTGGTATTAAACACTACCTGGCTCTCCTGTGTATTTTGTATGAATCACTTGACACTTGGTTTTAGAGTTAAGAGATGTGGTTTGTTTGATGATGCATGCACTTCATTGTTTTCTAGTTATGTGTGGTTTGGTCGTTGTTTCTGTCATTTTAAAATATTTTTGAGACAGAATCTCTTTGTTTTCATGCAGGCCCCAAAGTCATGCTATAGCTGAAACTGGCCTTCAGCTCCTAATTCTTCTACCTCCACCTCCCAGATCCTAGGAGTACAGAAGTGTACTACCATGCTAGGTTCATTGTACATTTCTTTTTATATTTTTCTTGTGCATGTGTCTGTATATGTGCAGGTATCTGTAGACCCAGAAGAGGGCATCTGATCCCTAGGAGCTAGAGTTATGAGTTACCTGGCATGGGTGCTGCTATTCAAACTCAGGTCCTCTACAAGAATAGCAGCTGCTCTTAACTGCTGAGCCACCTGTCCAGTCCTGTATATTGTTTTTAAATAAAGGTTGTGGGAATGTTTTGTTTTGTTTTGTTTTTAGCTGTTGGGGTGAAACCCAGAGCTTCATGCATACTAAACAAAGTACTGTACGACTGAGCTACATCCTTAATCCCCAAATTTTTATAGTGAATGGGTACAGTGTAATGTTTTATAATACACCTATATTGTGAAATTATTACTAACCTCAAAATAATTAACACATTTATTTATAGAATTAGAAAGATTCAAGTGTGCAGGGCAATATTGTTGATTAAATATTCAATAAGACCTCTAGAACATACTCTTTCTATGTAGTTTTGCAGCCTTATACCTCTTAACCAATATCTCTCCCAACTCACTTTATCCTTCATAACCATCACTGTACTCTAATTGAAATTTCTGGGTTTTTTTAAGATTCCATATAAAAGTCAGATCATACATTTTTTTCTGTATGGCTTGTTTCACATGGCATAATTTCCTGCTACAGATGTATCCATGTTATCAAAACTAATCAGAAGATTTTTTGGACATAGAGTCTTTCTTTGTAGCCTAGGCTAACCTCAAATTCATTATCCTCCTGCCTTAGCTTCTGGAGTACTGGGATGATAGGTATGTCCCACCATATCTGACTCAGTATGGTTTACCTAGTGATTAAAATATATTTTTGTGTGTCTCATTGTGGTCATTTGTATCTTATCTTTGGAGAAAAATGTATTTGGATCTTTTGATTGCTTTGAAATTACTTTAATTACTGAATCTAAGAGTTCTTTAAATGTTTTGGGTACAAATCTTTACTAGATAAATGATTTGCAAATAGTTTTTAATGTTTGACATTACTCTCTTCCTCTTTTCTTTGTTTCTTTTTATTTTGAGACAGGATCTTGCTATGTAGCTTAGGCTGGTCTTGTACTCTTCCTCCTGCCCTCAGTCACTAAGTACTGAAATTACAGTCTTGTGCCACTATTTTTACCTTGACATTTTTTATTGTTGTTGTTGTTTTGTTTCTTGTTTTTGTTTTTATTTATTTATTTTTTGAGTCAAGGTTTCACTGTGTAGCCCTGGCTGTCCTGGAACTTGCTTTGTGATCCAGGCTGTCCTTGAACTCACAGAGATCTGCCTCAGCCTCTCAAGTGCTGGGTTTAAAGGCATGTGCCACCACTGCCCAGCAGACAATGTCTTACTTTATAACTCTGGATGCCCTGGATCTTGTTACATAGACCAAGCAGGGCAGGCCTCAAACTCACAGAGATCTGCCTGCCTTTGCCTTCATGGTATTAGGATTAAAGGTGTGCAACTGTGTGCCAGTGTATATGTCTATTCTTATGCCGATCTTAATAGTGCCTCAATTTATCATAAGTTTTGAAACTGAGTAGTTTAAGTCCTTCAGTGTTTTTTAAGAGGTGTTTTCTATTTTAGGTCCTTCCTTTACATGTCAAGTTTTTAAAAATCATTTATTCTTTGACAGTATCATGTACATACACACAATGTATTTGTTGGTTCTAAGAACAGTTGATCATTTATATTTATAATTTTTTTTAGTATTTTGAGACAGGATTTCTCTTTGTATATAGCTTTGGCTGTCCTGGAACTCATTCTGTAGACCAGGTTGACCTTGAACTTGCAGTGATTCACCCGCCTCTGCCTCCAGAGTGCTAGGATTAAAGACATGCTCTGCTACTGCCTGGCTAATAATTTTTGAGAATCTATTCTTAATACGATCCTCTAAACAAGACATGCACAGTGGCCACCGCAGTTGTCATACCAACATGAACGGTGGCAATCTCACAAAGTCTCATGCCTAGGTGAAGAGCTACAGGCAAGGGAAAGTCAATCTTCTCCAGGAATAAGGCACCTAATAGGTTATCCAGTCACATCTGTTCAGCCCAAAATATATAAACATACAAACAGTACTAAATGAACTCAGTAGGTTATATTTACATGTATATGTACACACAACACACACACACACACACACATATCCATATCCATATATATATGTTATTGCAACACATAAGTGACAAGAAGAGGTTATGAATTTGACAGGGAGTAGGGGTACATGGGAGGAACTGGGGAGGGTGGGAATCTCTACCATACAGTAGAAATTATGTAAATACAGTACTCATATATGTCTTTTTTTTACAAAAATAAATGGTAGATTTTGATGATTATACTGTATAAACACTTAGGGAAATTTTGCCTTTTGGGGAAAGCCATGAGTAGGGACTGAGGCCAGAGATTTGCATATGTTAAGCATGCATTCTACCATTGATCCATACTTTTAGCCCTACCATGATAATATCTGACATGACTCATTTTATGTTCATTTCTTTGTTTTTGTAGTACCAAGAGGGTAAAGAGCATATCCAAGTCTCGGAGAGCCAAAATTGCAAAGAAGGTAGACAGTGCAAGGCTGGTAGCAGGACAAGTCATGGGAGGTGAATTTAACTTGGATTCAGATGATGAGCTGCAGATTGATGAGAGACTGGGAAAGGAAAAGGCGAGCCTGATCATAAGATCAAGTATGTTTCTGTTCTATTTCTTTCCTGCCCTGCCTGCCATGTCACATTTGTTTTTGGTTTGAGCTTGTTGGCTTTCTGATTTACCAGGCTCTAATGTGCCTCATCTCTCTGAATTGTTTGTTGGTGGTTATTACTTCAAAAACCACCCATTATTAATTTACACCCATCTATTAATTTATTTATGGGGTTTTCTTTGTTTTGGGTGGTTTTTTTTTTGAGACAGGGTTTCTCTGTTTAGCCCTGGCTACCCTGGAACTTCCTGTCGATCACGCTGGTCTTGAAGTCAGAGATCTTCCTGCCTCTTGTCTCCCAAGTGCTGGGATTAAAGGCGTATGCCACCATACCTGACAAAAATTACATTCTTCTTTCATTTGAGTGTTTGGCTCAGACATCATAATCTTAGCCTCCTACTAATATATTGCATTGTGTTTTAGAATTTCCCCGGAAGTTGCCCCGAGCAAAGCCTTGCTCTGACCCCAACCGTATTCGTGAACCTGGAGAAGTTGAGTTTGACATTGAGGTAGGAACATGTCGTGTATCTAGTCAAGGTACAAAGGTAATTATACATTTAATTTCTGAAATATTTGCAAAATAAAAGATTGCATGCAGGCTGGGGATATTCTTCACTGTAGAGCACTTGCTTAGCATGTGTAAAGCACTGGGTTCAAATCCAGTACTACAATAAATTAAATTGAACGCTATTGTGACCAGCCAATAAATGCCTCCATTTATTTATTTAAATTTTTAAAAAATTTTTAATAAATAAAAAATAGTTAACTATCACTTAACAAGGAGAGTATCTATCTGATTTGAAGTTTTGTTTTTTTTCTTTGTTTTGTTTTGTTTTTTCAAGACAAGGGTTTCTCTGTGGTTTTGGAGCCTGTCCTGGAACTAGCTCTGTAGACCAGGCTGGTCTCGAACTCACAGAGATCCGCCTGCCTCTGCCCATGAAGTTTATGATATGTTCTTTCACCGACTGTTTTACTTCATTGATCCCTACATTGCTCACCTGTCAAATAAGAGTTAAAGTGCTTTTACAAAGATGCTGTAAAGATTAAAATAAAAGGAAAAATGTTCTGCATAATAAATGGTGTTCATTTAGGATATTAGACGTTACACTGTCAACCTTGTATTGGAAACTTACCAGACCTGCCCTGTACAATTGAAGCAGTATGCTCTTTCCTTAACAGGAGGACTATACAACAGATGAGGACATGGTGGAAGGGGTTGACAGCAAGCTTGGGAATGGGAGTGGAGCTGGTGGAATTCTTGATCTACTTAAGGCCAGCAGGCAGGTGGGGGGACCTGACTATGCTGCCCTCACGTGAGTAATCTCCATTTTCCAAACTATCAAAGAGTACCACCCAAATGGCTAGGGCACTTATTGAGCACTTTTGTTTGTTTTGGGTTTTTGAGACAGGGTCTCTTTATTTAGCTTAGGCTGGTCTAGAACTTCTAGTCCTTCTGCCTTCCCTCCAAGTAAGTTCTGGTATTACAGGGATATACCACCATGCGCAACTTACTGAACCAAGTAAACAGACAATTAACACGGGCATTTAGCTGAAAGAATAATATGGATGCAAAAACTATCCTGGTAATCTTCAGATCTGGCAGTGACAGGATATGTAGATTTGAAGAAAAATCAACTTTAAGTACATTGAAAATGGGCCAGGGAGAGTCATAGAAAGAATTGTTAATAAAAAAGGAAGTAATGTAGCATATATGAAAAATAGATTTTTTCTACCTTCATTGCTTGTCTTCAGGGAGACTTGAAGCAAAACTAGCTTTTCATGAAAATAGTTTTTAATATTATCTTCATTCTTAACCATGGATGGTTCTTGCCTTTGTAACACCTTAATTGCCGTAGTGGTTCTTCCTCCCTGAGTGTTCTTACAACCAGTTTCTTCTGACTAGAATAACTTCCCCAGTGTTTCTCCTCTGTCCTTTACAGTGAGGCCCCAGCCTCCCCCAGCACTCAAGAGGCCATCCAGGGCATGTTGTGTATGGCCAACCTGCAGTCCTCATCATCCTCACCAGCTACCTCCAGCCTGCAGGCTTGGTGGACCGGGGGGCAAGACCGAAGCAGTGGGAGCTCCAGCAGTGGGCTGGGCACTGCATCTAACAGTCCCGCTTCCCAGCGTACCCCAGGGAAGCGGCCCATCAAGAGGCCAGCATACTGGAGAAACGAAAGCGAGGAGGAAGAGAATGCCAGTCTCGATGAGCAAGACAGCTTGGGAGCATGCTTCAAGGATGCTGAGTATAGTAAGAATGTGTTAGCATATGGGGCTAGATTGAAAGAGTTCCCTTTAGCCCAGTCCCAGTCCTAACTCCAAGAGAAGACAGCCTGTTGAACACAGAGCTTACCTTAAGTTAGATGTGACCTTTTTCTGAGACATGTTTTCTTGTGTAAAATGGGTATTAGGTTGTTGTAAGAATTAGAAATTATACTTACTTTGCACACTAGGCCCTTAGTGACTTAATCATGGGAAGTCCTCAAATATAGTATAGTTAGTTCTCTTATATTTAGCTGTCATCTGGTTTGGTACTATTCATCTTTCACTCTAGTTAACTCTTTTCCTCTCTTCCTTATTTGACTGTCACCATCTGTATTGTTAATGTTCTATGTTAACCAGTTCGTTTTTTTGTGACGGTATATACCATCAATTCTCTATAGCTGAGCATTTTACATCCATGGTTTTATCTACAAATCAAAAATACATAGAAAAATTACATCTATACTGAACATGTACAGATGCATTTCTTTCTATTTTCTTCTAACTTGTATAATTATTTACATTGGAAGTATACACGATGAAGGGCATATAGAGCATATGCGAATACCATACCATTTTATATAAGGAACTTAAACTCACATGGGTTTGGGTTGGTGAGGGAGGACATTCTGGAATCAGTTCCCTTCAAGTATTGATGGAAAACTAAAATGGCCTTCTTTAAACTTTGCATATTTAAGAAACAAGTCCTAAAATGATGAGTCATTAAAAGGATGATTTTTTTGGAGTAGTGTAGTAAATAAAGCACTGGTTTATATAATGTAGATAACAATAGTATGGATTTTTCTTTTATTATTTTAAAAATTATATAGAATTTATATAGATATAATTAATTTTCTTTGAGACTAAAACACTAGAGCAAAACAAAATTCCTTAGGCCTGATACTCTTCTTTCTGAGTCCAGTTTCCTTTTGTTTTGTTCATATAACTTACGTGTAGATATATGTAGACAGAGTATTTGTTTAAAGTGTGTAGCTCTACAGTTTGGCTACCTTTCTTTTTTTATTTTTATGTACATTGGTGTTTTGCCTGCAGGTATGTCTGTATGAGGGCATCAGATCCCCTGGAACAGGAGTTACAGATAGCTGTGAGCTGCCATGTGGGTGCTGGGGATTGAACTTGGTTTCTCTGGAAGAGCAGCCAATGCTCTTAACCACTAAACCATCTCTCCAGCCCCAGTTTGGCTATCTTTCAACATCAGTACATGGAGATCTGCTTCATTAATTCATAGAGGCTTGCTTGCTGCAAACTATTCTTTAGCATTATATGTTTGTTTAATCAAGTCCTTATTTGATTGACATTTTAAGTTCTTAAGGATTTTTATTGCATACAAAATCCTTACAATAATTTTTTATGTCCAATAAATGTCGTCTAAGATAGTAAAACTTGTGGGATTAAAGATTGTATATGAGATACATATTGATAGGGTCAAACTGTGCTTCAAAAGGATCAGCTTATAAATAGTGTATGAGAAATGCCCTTTTCTATACAGTCTTATCAGCTGTTGATATTATCAACCATTTTAATTCTGTTGTTAAAGTAGTGTTTTTGTTTGATTCTTTGTTTTATATATATGCTGATCCTATTTGTTCATTTTCTATAAACAATCTATTTTTTCAACTATTTTTCTTTTCAAATTTTTTCTTATTGATTTGTATATGTTCTTTTCTCATTGTTTTTATTATTGTTTCCCTATTGAGGTTTTGAGACAAGGTCTCTCAATGAACATGTAGGTAAAGACTTTGACTAGATTGGGTTGACCAACAAGACCCAAAGGTCTTTGTGTCATTGCCTCTCCAGGAATTACAGACACATGTCTGGCTGGCTTTTTGTAGCAAGGAGTTGAACTCAAGTTCACTTGCTTGCATAGCAAGTACTTTACAACGAGACTATCTTTCTTGCCTTTTGGTCATCTCATTTACTACCTAAGCCCAGAGCCATAGTTATAAGGCTCTTTTTTTTATCACTTAGGGACTATGATGGCTTTACCAGTTTACATTCCTAACAGCATTGAATAAGTGTCACTTTTCCCCACATCTACACCAGCATTTGTGATTTTTTGTTTCTTTGTTCATTGAGACAGGATTTCCTTATGTAGCCCTCGATGTTTAAGAACTTAGACCAGGCTGGCCTCGAACTCACAGAGATTTACTTGTCTCTGCCAAATGCTGGAATTAAAGGCATGCATCACTGCCACCTGGCCTAAGTTTTGTTTTGTTTTTATTTTAAATATTTCTTTAGTGTGATGTGGATGAGTGTTTTGCCTGCGTGTATGTCTATTCACCATATATGTGTACATGGTGCCTATAGAAGTCAGAAGAGTGCCTTGGCTCCCCTGAAAAAGATGGTTGTGAGCTGCCATGTGGGTACTGGGAAATCGAACCCAGATCCTCTGGAAGAAGAGCCAGTACTCTTAATCCTTGAGCCATCTCTCCATTGGAAGAGCAGTTTTAATTTGCATTTGTCTAATGGCTAAAGATGTTTAACATTTTAAAGTTTTTAGCCATTTACATTTCATCTTTTAATTGAGTTGTTTTCATGTTTATTTTTTTGTTTTTATATGTTCTAAATAATAACCCTCTGTTAGATGCTGTGTTAATTACTTTTCTATTGCTGTGATAAAACACCATAACCAATGCAAATTACAAAGAGAAGGTTTAATTGGGGTTAGTGTCCTTGATGGTGGAGCATCAAGGAACAGCTGGGAGGCCACATCTAAAACTGCAAGCAGGAGGCTGAGAATGCACGAGGCATGGCATGAATCTGTTGAAACCTCAAAGCCCACCCCCATGATATACCTCCCCTAAAAAAGCCACACCTCCTAATCTTTCCCAACAATTTACCAGTTGGGAAATAGTCAAACATGTGTAAATATAGGACATTCTCAATCAAACTGACACAGATATAACTCTGATAAGATTTCTTCCCATTCTGTAGGCTGCCTCTTCACTTGATTGTATCCTTTGCTGTTCAAAAAGTTTAGTTTCATGAGGTCCCACTTATTAATTTTTGGTCTTAATGCCTGTGCTATCATGGTCTTGTTCACAAAGTCCTTTCCTATACCAGAGAGTTCAAACATACTCCCTACTATCTACTCTGTCAGTGTCAAGGTATCAGGTCTTATGTTAAGGTTGTAGGTCCATTTGGAGTTGACTTTTTGTTCAGGGTGAAAGATGAAAATCAAATTTCATTCTTCTACATGTACATCTAGTTGGACTGCTGGCTTTTCTGAGTACTATTGGATTCTTTGTCAGAACTCAGGTTCGTTTATGAGTCCAAAATTGTATTCTGTTGATCAACAAATCTGTTTTTCATGTCAGTACCATGCTGTTTTCATTGCTATAGCTCTGCAACATGATTTGAAATCTGGGATGGTAATATCTCTAGCTTTTGCTGTTGTTATTCAGGACTTTTTGGCTATCCTGGAACTTTTGTTTCCTTATGAAATTTAAGATTGTTTTTTCAATTTTTGTGAAGAATTGTATTGGAATTTGGATGAGGATTGTGTTGAATCAGTAGTTTGTATTTTTTTAAAAAATTATTTATATTTTTTTAGGGACAAGTGCTGTCTGCATGTATGCCTGCAGGCCAGAAGAGGGCTTCAGGCAGTATTATAGATGGTTGTGAGCCACCATGTTGCTGGGAATTGAACTCAGGACCTCTGGAAGAGCAGCCAGTGCTCTTAACCTCTGAGCCATCTCTCCAGCCTCACCCCTACCCCCTACCCCACCCCAACACCAAGCTTGCTTTGTGACAGGATGACTGTTTGCACAATTTTCTGCCAATCCATGAATGTGGGAAACATTTGCATCTTCTGGTGTTCTGAAAAGTTTTTCTTTTCAGTGTCTTAACGTTTTCATTGTACAAGATTTCATTTCTTTAGTTGATTTGCTCCAAGCTGTTTTTTTTGAGGCAATTGTGAGAAGTACTATTTTCTCTGAATTCTTTCTCAGTATGTTTGTCATTTGTATATAGGAAGACTACCAATTTTTATATGTTAATTTTATGTCTTGCTACTTTGCTGAATGTATTTATCAGCAGTAGGGGGTTTCTGGTGGCATCTTTAAGGTCTTTAACGTAGAACCGTATCATCTGAAAATAAATATACCTTGACTTCTTTCCAATTTATTTTTATTAGTTAATTTATTTTTAAATGATCTTTTCTTATTTTACATACCTATGCAAGTCCCACTCCCTCCCTTCCTCCACCTTTTCCCCATCCCCCCTATCCACTCCTCAGAGAGGGTAACACTTCCCATGGGGAGTCAACAAAGTCTGACATCACATTGAGGCAGAACCAAAGCCCTCCCCTCTATAATTTAGGTTAATCAAGGTATCCCTCCAAAATGAATGGGCTCCAAAAAGCCAGTTCAAGCAGAAGGGATAAATTCTGATCCCATTGCCAGTGGCCGCAAAGACTGCCCAACTACACATCTGTTACCTACATTCAGAGGGCCTAGTTTGGTCCTATGCGGGGTCCCTCGCTGTCAGTCCAGATCATTGATTTCCCACTACCTCAGGTCAGTTGTTCTTATGAGTATCCCCAACGTGGTCTTGACCTCTTTGCTCATATTATCACTCCTTCCTCTCTTGGACTAGTCTCCAAAAGCTCAGCCCAGTTCTTAACTGTGGATCTCTGCATCTACTTCCATCAGTTGTTAGATGAAGGTTCTTTGATGGCAATTAAGGTAGTAATCAATCTGACTATATTGCAAGGCTATTTCAGGGACCTTCACCACTATTGCTTAGGGTCTTACCTAGGGTCATCCTTGTAGATTCCTGGAAATTTCCTGCCAGGTTTTACACTAGCCCCATAATGGCTCCCACAATCAAGGTATCTCTTTCCTTGTTCTCCCTCTCTGTCTTTCCCCCATCTCAACCATCCAGTTTCCTCATGTTCTCCTTCTCCTTCTCCTTCCCCTTTTGCCCCTTCCACACTCGCAATTTTCTCAGACCTTGTCTATTTCCCCT